GGTTGGATTATGGTGATTACCGATCACATGCATCGATTGTGTTGAGGGTGGTTGAGAAACGTTGTGAGAGATGGTGAGTATAAATACTGGTAGATGTGGTTGGTGTCTATGTGACTCGATCCGAGTGTTTGACAGTAGTGAATTTGCAGTGAGCAGTGATGGTACAGTGTGTGCTCTTGTGTTTGTTCGCGCTTCTCAGCATCTACGGTGTTCACGGTGAGTGACGACATTGAATGCATTGCATGACTGTATTGATTAGAGCATATTTGATTCGCCCAATGTGCGTGCGCATTGCTGGGAACGATTGTTGTGGATGATTGTGGTGTTGGTGCTGGTACTTGTGCTAGTGCCGATGCTTATGTTGATGATGATGGTGTTGGTGTAGTCCTTGTAGACCGATCATGGAACTGGTAGTGTTGGCTGTGTGATTGATTGTTTGTAGTAGGAATAAGAGTTTGTGCAATTGTGATTGAGATTGTGATGATGATTGTGGTTGTGATTGTGATTGTGCTAAATATTGGTGAGTGAATAATAATCCCGAAGTGTTGTTGTTCCGATGTTTCAGGTGAGGTTTCAGCTGAGAACGGAATGTGTTTTGGAGTGGGAAAGTATTGTGATGGTGCCGGACATAGGAAGTGTTGTCCACCACACACGTGCAAGCTGATCAATCCACGAGAAGGAGTGTGTGTCAGAGGACGATGTTTGCAGTCGAAAGAACAATGTGTAGATAATGTGGATTGCTGCAGTGGACACTGTTTGAATGGACACTGTAGAGACAAGTAACTAGATGTCTACTGCTACACCTGATGTCAAGTTTGTGCTTGACCAGACAGACGACCAGTCAGCTAGCTACACAGTCCACTAACTACACAACCAGTTCTCCATCTTGCTCTTCACACATACACTTTTCAACCACTCACATGTTCAATCATAACTTCCTTCTCTCATAATAAATGTGATTCTTCAAACCAAATCTGACTTCTCCACAACCTCGAAACACTGTTCGGTTGCGTGCGTGTACACGTGATACACGTGGAACACTGACTCTTGATAATTCGTTCGAAGTGAGTTGCGTTGAACCGATGTGCTGCTCATTTGAGTAAACGATGATTGTCGATCAGTATTATTGATTGTAGTAGAAGTAGTATTGTTCATACTGTACGTGTACGAAGAGTTATTGTTGATGGATCTGTGAAAGTCAACATTGAATTTAGTGTGACTGTTCGTGGTTGTTGAGGTTTGAGTTGTTTTAAATGGACTGTGGACACTAATTTCCAACTGATCAAGTTCAGATTGCATGGCTTGTGTATTATCGCAAAGTGAGACATTGTCATGAGCATACTCGGGGTCGAGAAGTCTTTCTCCAGGCAACAGATCCACACTTCCGTTACCTATATCCACCAGAGCTGTCAACTTTAGTTTGTTTGAGTGAGCACTTCGTTCTCCATACCATCGTCAGTTTTGCTGCTGAGTATATTACTGTAACGCGGAATTAATTCTGCGATTATATATTCCAGTAATTTCATCTCCTTTCAAGCGTAAGTATAAGAGGCCAGTTCTCTTTTCCACTCCATCATACTTTACCCGAGGATCGGTGTTTGCATATTTTTGTATGAATTCCATCGGATATGCATTTTCAAGTAGGCACTCAGTGATAGGAGCAATTTCTTCTTCCAGGTATTCGTTTCAGAAGATTTTACATGCGCGATCAAAAAGGGTTCGTAAAATTCCAATACGCATTTAATTGTAAGCAGGTGACGAGAGACCATGAACTATGATGAATTCATATTCTTCTGCATCAACATTCGTTCTGGCTTTGTTTTATTTCATAAAGGAAACTGGTTGCATATCATTCCATGATGTTGGAGTACTCCCTAACTGACTCGGATGAGTTGACAAAGATTCCGGCAGTTACCAGAAGCAGCTGGTAGACGGACGGGCTACGATGAGTTGTAAGAAGCCTGAAGAAACCCATTGCTTATAAGCGGGACGTGCCGCACGTTAGTGCTAGTCAGAATGAGGTTGTGATCTGTGCACTGTTGCAGTAGATGATCCTTGTTATCCGTCCTGCAACCAACAAATCCACATTGACCGGCTAAACCACTCCATTCTGTGCCTAGACGCCCAACCTTAGCATTGAAGTCCCCGGCTAGTACTGAAATATCTGTCGAACGCACTTCCTGTAGAAGATCTGTTGTGAGTAAGAAATATTTGTCTTCAAGTCAAATGAAGATTGATGACCAACTGCTTCACAACACATATATCATGTTTTGAATGGCTAATGGCTACGGCTTCAGCGAACTTCAGAAGACTGGAGCTTGTCCGTTTGTTAGTCACCTTGATAGATTGCAACGTATCGACCTGACGTCCTGCATCCAAGAGACAATTGGTAGTTGCCTTGTTTATAGTCATTATTTCTCATGCTCTAAGGCTTCTTGAACATGTCGTAACTATCTACGCTATGCTGTCTATTAATTAGTTCGCCTATGAAGTTCATTCTTATTTACATTATCCTCCCTTCTGATAACAATAAATGAATAGTTCAGTCGCACACAGTGCGGATGAGCGATCGAGTGCCTCTACGTAGTTGTGTCCAGTCAAATTACTAAGGTCAACATGAGTGTCGGAAGCTTAGAGAACTATCTGTTTCGGGGATTTATATGCCACTGCACAGCTTTAAGTCATCATTTATCATGTTCGAAGGCATTTTGAGACATGTTCAAAATATCTAACATGTGCCCTCTTTTTTGTTCGGCCAATGCATTTGCTTTGCTCTTCTAGTAATCCTGAGACGGCAACTGGAACACGAGATGAAAGGCGCGAAATATGGCGAAACGCTCTACTCGAAGGCGCTTTTACGTAAATAACATCTTGTGTATTTATATCATTTTAGATGGCCTTGGGCGTCTTGAAACTATTTAACCCTTCTAAATATAGTAGCAGAATAGGTTATCCATCAATCAGAAATGCGACATGTGATCTATCACTTTCTGGATTCGCTCGAATATCTATCAAGTTCAGCCTACGTTTATCCATGGGTACTTGATTAATATATCGGAACCACATTCCAAAAGGACCACGAACATTGAAATAAATAATTTCCAATTCATTTGCAAATACCACATGATCAAAGGAACCAATCTAGGTCGAAGAGGAAGCGATAAATTCAAACGAAATGGCAAGTGCAAAAGAAAATATGAATCTACGAGAAATAACGAAAAAAATCACCCATATTTCTGTAAACACAATCGACTGCAAAAAAAATACTTCGACTTGATCACACATTAACTGGAGTAACGGTAGTTGTCAGTTAAGTGATGATGAATTTTCATCAATCGTTAACCTGCACTTCTGGTCACAGTGTGTCCGCATCCTGACAAGGTGTGGTAAGAAGGATATTAATTATATTAAGACGACCACATAAACGTTATTTTAAGTCAAACTTCTTCTTGCATAATTTAATATATTCTACTCTTTTCGTTGAAAAGGATATCTAGTACTAGTGCTATACCTGGACATTTCTAAGGCCTTCGACATGGTCAACCACCAACTACTCATAGGTAAACTCGCATCTTATGGGGTCGAAAACCCGTTACTAGCCTGGTTTGATTATTTCCTCAGCAATCGACATCAAATAGTTGAAATCAACTCTTCATTGTCGAGCGGTGTCCCTGTTGGAGGTGGGGAAATACAAGGTAGTGTCTTAGGCCCTTTGCTCTTTCTAGTGTTTATTATTGATACTTATGAGTGTTTTTGTGTGGGTAAGCCACTTTGGTACGCGGATGATCCGAAAGTAATGTATTCATTCTCTCCACTTGAGCTGAGCAATATTCAACATTACATCAGCACGGAGCTTAACAGTGGTGCTCAAAATGGCAGCCTGTGCCTAATACGGCTAAATGTGGATGGATATGCTTCAGCGATACATCATTCAACTTACATCTTACCATGTATGGTGAAGTGTTATCTAGGTTACACACAGTAGAAGACTTGTGACTTGGGTACCGCTACGATTCGTCGTTTACAGAACAGATAACGGAACGGATTTCCAACTCTCAACGCCTTAGATATCACATAACTCGGAACCTTTCTACCAATGAATCACGTGTTTTAATGTACAAAGTTTGTGTTCGACCACTCCTTGAATACTGGGCGTCTATTCTTGGTAGTGCGC